ACCAGGAAGAGAACCTCAGGAACAAGGAAAAGAAACTCAGAAAACAGAAAGAAATTATAAACTAAAAAATAAACTAAGTAGCTAAATGAAGTAAAAATAAAATAAGTGAAGCGGAAATAAAATGAGTGAAGCAAAAGCAACCAGAAAAGAAAGAAAAAGGAAAGACTAGACCGAAGTGGTGGAGAGAAAACACTCCGACCAGCTACCGGTCCGCCATCTTGGAGATGAGATAACTCTTACTCCTCAACAAAGAGAGCAGCCATTGATTGGGAAATGCAGTTAAATTCTGTTTCTATTTTCCTGAAATGCTCTTGCTTCATTGTATACGAAGCCCAAGACTTGCATACTAATAATTGTTCAGTAATGATTTCATGTCTGTTCTACATCTCATACACACAAAAAGTACAATAACAAGGCACATTTAGTTAAAAAAAACTATGTTGTCGTTAATGTCAGCTTTTCTCTTTTCAAAAAAGTCTCTAGTGACATGTATTTGCTATGGAGACACACACACAAACAAACACAAATATATATTTTTCAGGACATCTCTAGCTTGTTGTTGCCTATACTGGACCAGGAAGAGAACCTCAGGAACAAGGAAAAGAAACTCAGAAAACAGAAAGAAATTATAAACTAAAAAATAAACTAAGTAGCTAAATGAAGTAAAAATAAAATAAGTGAAGCGGAAATAAAATGAGTGAAGCAAAAGCAACCAGAAAAGAAAGAAAAAGGAAAGACTAGACCGAAGTGGTGGAGAGAAAACACTCCGACCAGCTACCGGTCCGCCATCTTGGAGATGAGATAACTCTTACTCCTCAACAAAGAGAGCAGCCATTGATTGGGAAATGCAGTTAAATTCTGTTTCTATTTTCCTGAAATGCTCTTGCTTCATTGTATACGAAGCCCAAGACTTGCATACTAATAATTGTTCAGTAATGATTTCATGTCTGTTCTACATCTCATACACACAGAAAAATACAATAACAAGGCACATTTAGTTAAAAAAAACTATGTTGTCGTTAATGTCAGCTTTTCTCTTTTCAAAAAAGTCTCTAGTGACATGTATTTGCTATGGAGACACACACACAAACAAACACGAATATATATTTTTCAGGACATCTCTAGCTTGTTGTTGCCTATACTGGCATGTGTCAATAATTGTGGTCATAAATAGCAACTTGTAAGGTCTAGCTATTTATCAAACCTGTCTCCAACATTAGGTTGGAACAAGGAGTACAGAAAGAGTCAGTGAACCCAGTAAATTACACCATGGTAATCTGATGAAATATTGATCAAATAAAAAAAGCGATCTTAGCACTGGTAGCTCTAACAGACTCAAGACAAACATAGTGGAGACGTGATCAGAGATGTACAAGGTCAATTCAGATGTTTGCCTTGTTTTGTTTCAGTTATGGTTTTCAGCAGTTCTTGTTTAAGTGTGTGAGCCTGAATCGTGCTGTTTTTCTCCAACAGATAATTGTGATGATCAGCTGGTGTCTGCCTTGCCTCAATCATCATTCAGCAGTTCATCAGAGCTGTCCAGTAGCCACAGCCCAGGATTTGCAAGGCTTAACAGAAGAGACGGTAAGCATGCCCCCATATTTTTAATCTTTATTTCTGAATGTTTACTAAATAGGCTTCTGGCATTTGCCACATTGTCTCTAGACTGTTAAGCTGGAGATATGACTTTAACAACATTTTTTCTCATAGTTAATGTATACACTAATATAATTTTCTAGGAACCAGCATTATTCTTGTATTAGTCTAAGCCCAGCCAACAGAAACAAGCCTAGCTGAGCCTCCAATCCTTCTAAAGGTGTGATTAGACAGGCATTTGTCCTATTGCTTGACCCACTGTGTGGACTGGTCAGTTTGCTTGTTTTTCCAGCAATCACATGACATAATTGCTGAAGCAAATCAGCCCTTTCAGAGTCCCTGTCAGAGGCTTCTACTTTTTTGATGCAGGTAGGATCGCATAATGTTGGTTTGTTTTCGACATGTATGACAACTGGAAATGAATCAAAGTGTAACTTGGTTCTCTCAACTGGCCAAAAAGATTATTTTTTTTTAAAAAAAGCCATTGTATTAGAGCATTGCTGATGTGTGGCATCAATTATAAAAATACAGTGGTGCCTCGCTAGATAGTCACCCCGCATGACAGGTTTTTCGCTAGACATTGACTTTTTGCGATTGCTATAGTGATTCACAAAACAGTGATTCCTATGGGGGAATTTCACTGGACAATGTTTGGTCCCTGCTTCGCAAACCGATTTTCGCTAGACGACGATTTTGACAGCTCCCTCCGCACTTACAAAACAGGTGTTTTTGGGACCTAAGCCTCGCAAGGCAGCAATTTAAACAGCTGATTGGCGGTTCGCAAAGCAGCTGTCCTATGGCCGATCTTCGCCAGACAACAACGATTCTTCCCCATTGGAACGCATTAAACAGGTTTCAATGCATTCCAATGGGGAAATGCTTTTCACTAGACAATGATTTTGCTAAACAGTGATTTCAGTGTAATGGATTATCACCATCTAGCGAGGCATCACTGCAATTGAAAACTTTTTCCTGTAACTGGGAGGACATAGAAGAAGATAAGGAGGGGTTTTTTCTTAAGGTCCCATCAAGAACCTACCTCCAACCAAATCCAGTGAAGGTTGGTATGAAAAAAAAGCTATATGTTTATGGGCCCCGATTTAGATTCCAGAGTTTTACATGAGCCACCTGTTAAATACCATATCTTTCATAGCTAGCTGGAGGTACACTAGATGACAGAGGTGAATAGTGGAAGCCAAATTTAAGGTGTAAATATTTTAAATAAATAAATAAATCCCATAGGTGATTTTTTTTTAAAAAAAGAGCATCTCCACATGAATGTTTTATTCATGTTTATTCTCTGAGTTGTTTAGGTGTAAAATTTTGTTCTATAAATTGTTGCATATATCAAATATACATTCTATTTCTTTGTGTTTCCCCAAGTGCTCCAGTTCTGAAGTAGTTCAGAGAAGAGGATAAATGATGAGTTCGCAGGGAGGAGTGGGGGTTTAAGAACCTAGTCTGTAAAATCTCAGACAGTCAGCAATTTAGAGGTATATTTAATTGGTCTCTAGACAGCGTGAAAAACAAAACTTCTCTGCCCAGCATTCAGACATGATTTTAAAACTGAAATCATTAATGTGGATTTAGGACAGTTTTCAGCTTTTAGGAACCCAGTTACATACTGAAATGTTTTATTTGGGATTGTAAGAGATAAACAGACTGAATTAGTGTTTGGTCTTGAAACATGTAGGGTGGAAGAGTAAAAGTAGATCAAAGAAAGAGACCGAGAAATGAAACATGCAGAATATTTAATAAAATGTGTGTGAGCTGCAATGCAAACTCTGATACTGTGCTCATTGATGGATGGATGGATGGATGGATGGATGGATGGATGGATGGATGGATGGATGGATGGATGGATGGATGGATGGATGGATGGATGGATGGATGGATGGATGGATGGATGGATGGATGGATAAAACCTTTATTGGCGTACGTAAAAAATGGAACGCCGGTCATAACTCAAAATGGTCGTAAGTCGAAGCACCATTTCCCATAGGAATGCATTGAAATGCAATTCATCTGTTCCGGCCGAAGGAAAAAAATCACAAGTCGAAGCAAAATTTTGTGGCCAGAGCTGGTCCTAACTCAAAATGGTTGTAAGTCGGGGCATTCGTAAGTCGAGGCACCACTATATATAGGCATCAAGAGGGCAGAAAAGTGTTAACCCGCAGCACCATTACGTCCCTAGAAAAGTGTTGGACATCCTTAAAGGGACAATGGTTCATCTCCTGACAATAGTATCAAGGAAGTCTGTGACTCTTTCTACAATGTCAGTCAGCCATCAGCATATAGTGAACTTTATCCAGATCTGACCTCCCTTCCAGCTTTAATAAAATTGGGGCTATTAACCTTGATCTGCCCATCGAGTAAAGCAGGCAGTGCAAAAACATATAAAACATATAAAAACATAGCCTTTCAGACTAGGGAACTGCATTAAATCTGCCATATACCCTGTTTCCCCAAAAATAAGACCTAACCTGAAAATAAGCCCTAGTATGATTTTTCAAGATGGTGGTAATATAAGCCCTACCCCAAAAATAAGCCCCAGTTGTGAAACCCCACCCTCCATCACTGTTCAGCAACCAGAAGAAGATGACACAAGTGTATTTGAATAAATGTAGATGGTTGTACATGAAAAAATAAAACATCCCCTGAAAATAAGCCCTAATACATTTTTGGAGCAAAAATTAATATAAGACCCTGTCTTATTTTGGGGAAAACATGGTAATATAGCAGTCCGCATGACATTGAATCTGGCCAAAGAGAAGGCCCTACATTTTTGAGGGCATTTCAGCAAGGAAAGATAGGCAGCAGGTTTACCCATTTTAGGAGGAATATGGAAAAACAGAATTTACTGGCAACACTACAAAGGTCCTGAAATTCAATATCTAAAATTCTTCTTTTAATAATCTGGAAAATTTAGGAGGAATATGGAAAAACAGAATTTATTGGCAGCTCTACAAAGGTCCTGAAATTCAATATCTAAAATTCTTCTTTTAATAATCTGGAAAACTAGCTCTTGACTTAGATCTCCAAGGTAGTTGCTATTGATACCAATTGATTTCAATTTTTCCAAGAGGACCATTGACCCAAAAAGCGGGACAGAGTCCCACAGAAGTTGGTGTAATAGTGTCAGTATTTTATATAAAATACAATATGGAATTGCCTTGGTGGTTTATGGGAGACCAGAAAAAGCTGAGTCACTCAGGTTGGCAGTGAGCCAGAGTGAAAGTCATGTGGCACTGCTGCACATGTGCAGAGTCCAATCTGCTGTGTCACTATTGCGTCAGACTATAATATATAAGCAAGGTGCTGACTAAGCTTAGTTGTTGGGTTGATGTATGAAGGAGCAGCTCGTCACTTTGTCAGAAGGAATCATGGATTTGCCAGTTCTGAGGCGCGACGTATGTATATTTGTAAATATACTTTTGGTAAGGGAACGTCTCCTGTGTCCAGAGTCTTTGTTTTTGTTCTCTGTTTGGAGATTACTGAAGAAAATCTCAAACAACATAACATTCACTTTGCAACTCTTAACAAATAAACTGTCCATGTCTGAATTGTAATAGATACTTAACCAAAATTTGAATGAACTCAACTAAGCTAGTTTGTATTAAAGATACTCCGGACTTCAGACAGAGCACTGAGTAGGTAGTCCTAACGCTTTGCGTAAGAAGGAGGATTGTAGCTGTTCAATCGATCGATCCAAAGCACTTGCCCAAATTGGGAAACCATAGAGGGCTTGTGGAATAATTTTGGACTTGAAAACTTGTAATGCTGCCGGGACAAACCAATTTCCTGAATTATAGTAAAAATGCAGAATAGATTGAGTAGTGATCCTAGCTTCTGTACATTTATAGCCATTTTTCGATGGGTGTTTATAATAAAAAAGAACACCTATTTATACTGTTTAACCTGTTCTATATGATTTCCATTTAGGTTCCATTGAAGTTGTTCCTTTAACCTAACCTGTTCTATATGATTTCCATTTAGGTTCCATTGAAGTTGTCCCCATGTTTTGGCAAAAATCAGTATTTTTGATTCACTATAATTTAATTGCATTTTATTTTTTGCCCAGATACTCTGCACATCAGGCGTTTTAGGCCTGGATGAGTGCAGGAAATGATGACTGCATTGTCCGCATAGAGTAGTATTGGGATAGGATGAGTTCCCAATTTGGGATTTCCATTTAGGTTCCATTGAAGTTGTCCCCATGTTTTGGCAAAAATCAGTATTTTTGATTCACTATAATTTAATTGCATTTTATTTTTTGCCCAGATACTCTGCACATCAGGCGTTTTAGGCCTGGATGAGTGCAGGAAATGATGACTGCATTGTCCGCATAGAGTAGTATTGGGATAGGATGAGTTCCCAATTTGGGTCGAAGTTTGTCAAAAAGGGAGTGAGAGCATTGTCAAAAAGGGAGTGAGAGCATTCATAAAAATGTTAAACAATAAGGGAGCCAGGATGCAGCCTTGTTTCACTCCCTTGTTATTGGGACCTGGTTGGTTGCTCATAGATACAGTTTAAATGCAAGACTCCTGAGATCAAGTCCTTCTCAGCATGAAGAGGTCCACCCAGGTGATGTGTTCGGGTTATTGCTGCTTGGGGTAGTTTGCGGAGGCATTTGATTGATATCCGAAGTGCAGAAGAGGAAAGTAAAAAGAGTGGGGCAAAGTGTTGCAGCTGCATGAGGTGACACTCTATAGTACTGCGGTGGGATGTGTCTGATCGATATCACTTTGCCAAATCCTCTCAGATCACACCTCATGACTGGGGCTGGATTGATAAATGTGAGGCTTGTATATATTGTGCTTTTCAAGCCATAAGTATCTATTAATTTTAGATTTAGATTAACTTTAGACTAGTCTACCTTATTTAACAAGCTCTGATTCAGCGTTTAATCATTGCTTTCTTGGGTGTGTGGGAATCAAGAACAAATGTTAAATGCTTGCTTCCATGGCAGAAGCCCACTTACAACCCTA